AATAAGGAAGTACCCCCCATTTGGATTCAAATAAAAATACTAGAAAATCAAATTCCAACCAAATCAAAATATGAAAATTTGGTTTTAGTGCAAAATACGATTTAGGCTCAAATTGATAGCTCATTAAGTCAATATATACTTCATACTAAAACCCCATAAAATCAAATTTTCTTATTTGATGTGTAAGGAATAAAAGCCACCAAAAATTATCTTGAAAAAATGATTATTTTGAAAAATCATTTTTCATACTTAGCCAATATTTTTACTTAAAACAGTTTTTCATGTATGATATGAATGCATGAAGGAACCTAAAGTCAATCTAGGTAAAAAGCTTTAGATGTTCAATTCACAAAGAGTTTTACAAGAATAACCTAACTCTTACGTATTGAAGAAATATTTGCTTGAATAAGCTCCGCCTAAGACAGTACTCATAAAGTTCCAAAGTTTGAGAGCTAGAACCCTTAAGAAATGCAGATAAAGCCCCAAATCAAAACTACGACGGACCTAAAAAATGACGTAAATGCCCTAAAATGAGCAGGATTGCGCTAAGATATGCAAGTTCTTATGTCGAATTAGACAAGACGCCTTGGGAGGCGATAAGGATTGCACTAATTTTTTGGTTTATTGTCACATTCTTAGAGATATTTCTGGTGTATTGCAATGTGTATTTATTTTTTGAAGTTGATGCAATTCTCTTTGATAATGAACATGAGTATTTTGTATGGTTTTATCTATTAACTATGAATTTAGAGTATTATTGTTTCATTTCAACGGGTCGATTTTGCATAGAATTTTTTTTAACCTTTTACACGTTGACCCTCGGAATGAAAATTCCTGGATCCACCACTGTTGCCGTGGACGGTTGCACTTTGTCCCAAATCCCAGCAGCACTTTCATAAAACAGATGCAAAGCATGCTGTTAGCTGCTCAGTTTTTGTGTAGAAGAATTTTGCATGTTTTTCTTTTAATGTAATAAGTTTCGATGAAGTGTTCTTTCTTTCTGTTGAACCACATTGAATTTATCAATGATTAGAAATATATTTTTGTTTTGTCTTCTGTTGCCTTTTCCTGAAAGCAAGAAATTTCATTTTGGTCTAGTGGTGCCCATTCTCCACTTTGTCTCATGGACAATTGCTGCTGCATGAAAAAATTGTTTGGAAAGAATTTTCTTTCTATATGTAACTGAATGTAACTCTTGGTGTTCTTGGATTATGTTTCTGGTAAGAAACAATAGATATACCAGTTCAGTTCTGTGTTTTGGCGCCTTTTGTTATTATCATTACTATTGCTAGTACTATTTTTATTGTTGTATATTATTATTATTATTGTTATTCTGTTGATGACATTTTGGTTCTCTTAACTCCAATGTTTAGTATAATATTTAAATTTGTGGAAATCGTGAAGCTCCCATTCTTTGCAGAAATTTGAAGCTTTTGACAGTCAACAAAGGATGGATTTCTACATAAATAATTGGATTTTGTTTCTCACGCAAACAATATATTCTTCTCATTTTTCCTTTTTAAAATTTTTCAATTTTGCATGATATCTATGCTGTTACAGAACACCAATATATCTGCTCAGTAATTTACAGATTTTAAATATAATAAAAAAATTTAGCACTGACAAGGCCATGAAAAGTTGCATTGTTCTTCACCAATGTAAACTCCGAGACTCATTGAAAGAGGGACAAAAGCAATGATGCTGAAAACTGTTTTCTTGTTTATCATTTCATTCTTTACTTTTCCCCTACAGGAAACAGAGGCGCTGGAAGGACTCCATTGAATTGGGAAACAAGGTCTGGCATTGCTGTTGGAGCTGCTCGTGCAATTACATACCTACATTCCCATGGTCCTACGATCTCACATGGAAACATTAAATCTTCAAACATTCTTCTCACTAGATCCTTTGAAGCATGTGTCTCTGATTTTTGCCTTGCTCATCTTGCAAGCCCAACCTCTACGCCCAACCGCATTTCTGGTTATCGCGCTCCAGAACTCACAGATGCTAGCAAAGTAACCCAAAAAGCAGATGTTTACAGCTTTGGTGTATTGCTTTTGGAGCTGCTTACAGGAAAGGCTCCAACCCAAGCTATCATGAATGAGGAAGGAGTAGACCTTCCAAGATGGGTTCACTCTGTGGTCCAAGAGGAGTGGACTGTTGAGGTGTTTGACCTCGAGCTTCTTAGGTACCAGAATGTTGAGGAGGATATGGTTCTACTTTTACAGATTGCACTTGAATGTACCGTTCAGCACCCTGATAATCGCCCTTTAATGGGCGAGGTAACTAGCCGAATTGAGGAGCTTTATAGTGCCAGCTTAAAGCATGGACAAGATGCAAATCCTGATATATCTCGTGATGTGGATGATGGGCTGTCTCAGCAGCATTTCTCAGCTGACTCTCATATACGTCCATAAGGATTGAACAAAGATCAACGTTCTTCCTGCATTGCCCTTCTGGTCAGGGATAATTTAGTGCTTTCATTATTTGTTTATTCTTGAGTTTCTCGTGAAAGAAAAATTACCGGCAGGATCATGTATTTTTCTCGTTTGGTTTTCACCTTCATACCTATTTTCTTAATAGCAATCTAATTAGCCCCTGTATTACTGTTTATGCTGTATGTGGAGGGGGATATCTGTATTATTATTTATAACGCGGTTGCCCGAATTGCGAACTCTGAGTTTGCCCATGGTGAGATGCTCACTCTCACCCTCTGTCCCTCGTAGCTTTGAACTGGGTGCAACTTTTCTCTATGATTTGAAATGCTTGAGTTACTTTCTGGATTTTGAGTTGAGTATTTGCCATTTATTTGTTCTTTCGTTTCAGCCAAGTCAAGCATATCTCTATACTTGGAGAATAATCTTATCATGTAGTTTTCTTGTGTACTTAGGTCAATTGATTCTCTGGGCTCCCATGGTTGCTTTAGCTTGGTATCATTCATTACACTTCCAATGAATGTAATAATATAGGCCATTTTAAACTTCAACATCAATGTATGTAAAGAGTGACCTTATTCCTATCCGCCAGTCTTATTTTTAATTTTCGTAAATGAATTTTGAATACAATTTAGCTTCTTTTTTTTATTTTTTTGGGTATAAATTTGCTGAAAAATAAGAAACAAAAAGCCTAGGGCTCTCATGCCAGTTATGGAACCTTGTCTTCTATAGTCACTGACCTCGGGGGACAGCTTGGAACACTAAAAACTCCAAAATTATACAACATAACCACAAATCTAACATAAAACCATTACAGAAGATTATTAAGAAATTATATAGTTATTGTTTATATGACTGTCTTGAGACAATGGTTACCGATCGTAATCCTTCTCCAAATCCAAGTGGATTTGGTCTGAAATAGGTAAGTCTTTAGGAGATCCGAACTAGGGCTCCTCTCCCATGCCTTGCCTTGGGGGCTACTCAAGCTAACTTGGCTTGAACTCAAAGGTGATTCGTATAATTTTCACACAAAAAAGAAGGTGATTCGTATAATAAGTTTTGTCGGACAAGAAGAAATCTATCCCATATTCCTTATCTTAAACTCGGCATGTACGCCAATAGGGTCTAGCCTAATGGAAAAGAGATTTTGAATTGTAGAATAGTGGTCTCATATTATGACACATTGATAGTATGCATGAGAAACCTCCTATCTCTTGTAGTTTAAACTATTACTTATATTTTTTATTAAAGCTGGTCACGTACATTTTGATACTTTTCATCCTTTCACTGGATACATGACAATATCCTATTTACAGTCTCACATAATTCAATGTCCCCCTAATCAAACCCTAAACCCTCATAATTTTAGTCTCCATTCTTCAAATTTGATTAATGGCATCCCCATCCAATTGCTTTGCGCTTCAATGTCATCCTCAATGACAGCTACATCCAATTTTCAGTTAAAATCATTCTTATGACACGTTTACTTATATATAATTGGTATTGGAATTATTCTAATTTATGAATTTCCCTATGTTTACAAACATATGGGTGTTGAAATTATTCTAACTCTCAACTTCCCCTATGCTTATTAACACATAAGTAATAAAGAATTATGTGAGTTACACATTAAAATACGTAAGTTGATATTTTAAAAACAAGGAATTAGATTGATTAGGGGTAAATAATTCATCACATGCCCATTCATTCTTTTTCCGAATTTAAAATTCCATGATTCATGACTTCCTCAATTCCAAGTAAATAAACATGCCATTAGTTTTAACGAAAATTTGAATGGAATTGACGTCGGGGATGATATTGATGTGTAGAGCAATATGATGGGAATGATATTGATCGAATTTGAAGAATCAATTTTGAATTTACCTCTGTTTTCATCAATGTTGGGAACCTAAAGCAATACCACATGTTAGAATGCTTAAAATATGTTGGCTTATTTGTAATAGTGCCAATACATTGTCTACCACCACATAAAAAGCTTAGAAGAGACTTTGCTAAAGTGTCTTGAGACATTTGAAGAAGAAACAACATAAATTTTGGGACAAAAAACTTGAAAACAGAAAAGACGCTAGTAACTCGTAATAAACCTTAAAAATATTTTTGAAAGTATATAAATAAAAAAAAAAACTTACTGTTTGAATAGAGGTGGGCACAATTTCAAGTCAATCTGATTGAATCGTTCAATCAATCATAATGGGTTGAACAGGTTGAGTAACGGCTTCAAACTAAAGCTTCAATATAGGCATAATTTTGAGATAACTCGACTAAATTGTCCAACTCGATCATAAAAAATTTGGGTCGAGTTAGATTGGCCTAATAATGAGCGGGCCTTAGGTTGAAAAAATCATAAACTGTTATATATCGGGTTGGGTTATAAATTAGGACTAAAATTGATCCAACCCATGCCATCTCTAACTTAAAAAAAGGAAACGAAAAGAAAAAGAAAAATAAAAAAGAAGCTGTGGGTTCTGTGACGGAATTGTGCTCTCACTAGAGGAAAAGTAAAAAACAAAAGGGTTAAGGGTTATGGAAAAGGGTAAAGAGAAAAACAAAAGGAGTTAAAAAGGAAAAAAGAAAAAGACAGCGGTCATCACAAGAGGAAGCCAAAAAAACAGACAGACGTTGATAAAAGCATCACCAGTCTCTGAAGTTTCGTTATTTTGTTTTTGCTTCTTTTCCTCAGTTTTCCGTTTGTTTCTTTGAAGAAATTCTCAGGCTTTCGATTCATTATAATCTCAGAACCACTCACCCTGAGACCCAAACTCATTTTCTTGACAATGGGTTTGTTGGATTCCTTCCTCACTTGGCTCCGGAGGTAACCCATCTTGCTCTTTTTCATTTTTCTTTCTTTGGATATGAGTTTCTGTGAAAGGGTTTTTTTTTTTTTTCCGGTTTACTGATTGCTGTGTTCAACTTGGTATTATAAAGATTTGAGGTGCGGCAGTTGATTAATTTAATTACTTCCTCCTATGTTGCTAATAATCAATTATGAAAATCAAAACGAAAAGTAATTGCATTATTTGATGGGATTTGTGGAATCTGTAATCACACTGAGCTTTGTTCAATTGGGAACTCTGTGGTTTTATATCATTCTCAAATGAAGTTTCTTTATGATTCAAATGGTTTCCAGCGTTATCCTGTTGCTTTTAGATAACTTAAAAAGTATCGGTGATTTCATTTGTTTATACAAGTAGATTAGTTGCATAACATGATTTTCAGACTTCCTAATTAGCGGCTTAAAAAATATGTGGTCTGACAAAATTTTATGAATTTGAATTTATCGGTCCTATCAAAATTGTAACTATGCGGCTATTCTGCTTGAGGTTGTCTTCATTGTTATGACCATGATGATGACAATTATGAAAGTGAGTTTCAATCTTCTGAGACTAGAACCCATACAATTGTTAGACAGCCCTTATTAGAGGCAAAGCTACCATCTTCATACTATTAAGATTTTCATTTTACTATTCCCTCCATATGAGAAAACAAGAAGGTTGAAATTCTTTGTATTTTCTGTTGTCTCTTTAACTGGAAGGGTTATGGGAAATTGGTCTTTGAGTAAATATTCGGTGTAGGCAACTCTTACCATGAGTGAAGTACTAGAAACCATCTTTGTGCATTTCCTCTTCGTATTTTAAAATAGTTTTTCTCCTTTCGAGTCTGTTATAATCAATGAAATTGAAAGGGTAAGTACATTGGTTTTTTTTTTTTTTTTGGGGGGTCAAAATAGTACATTGTTTGTTGGAATAGCCAACTATAGTTTATGTTAGTATGATTTGGAAGTTCTGCGCTAGTTTTTTTTTTATGCCTGCATTACGCAGGGATACTGGAATTTGGAAACGTCCGATTTCTCTGTTTTAGGGGGTTAAGTTGAGAGAATGACTACAATCCCATTGTTGTACAGCAGATCTAATGTTGACAGTGGATGTGAACCCCTTGTTAATTCTCATTACTCATTCCACTCCTTGTATTCTGTCAATGATTTTTCTTCCTTTGAGTTAATAGTTAGATACTTCATCATATGGCATTAAGCTTCATGGTCATGAATGGCTTTTTGAGCTTCCTTTGAGTTTGATCTAATGAAGTTCGAGAAACACTAAAGTAATCTGTTGTCAGTTCTTTTCATATCCTTAAAGGGCTGTGAACCATGCATCTCTTTGTTTTGTGTGTTTCGTTATATTTGCTCCACATGTCATCATGGATAGGCACTTTCTTTTCTTGATAATAAACACAAGCTTTATTCAAAATGCAAAAATTGAAAGTCCAAGCGTAGTCGATAAGTGTTACAACCCTGGACCCTGGAGTTGGGGTCAAGGCCAAGGCATGATGGCTGCCATGCCCTTGCCAAGGCAAGGGTGCATATGACAGGTGCACACAACCAAGTGAAGAAAGGTATAAGTGTGGGAATTCTTGTACAAACGTGCCAAGATCTTGTTATCAATGAACTATGATGAGCACACACACACACAACCAGTAAAAAAAAAGGATAAAAAAACACACCACGAAAGAAAAAGAAAAATCCACTAGAAATTGTACCCAAACTAGGTTTGGCGATTTGTGCCTATATCCTTGGTAATCACCCTGAGAAATTTCAGTAGTCAAGAAAGGAACAACTTTGCTTACAAGAAGAAGCCCAGTAGCCCTTTGTTAACCCTAGGTCTTAATTTCTCTCTCACCCTTGCTCAAATCCTTTGGTGCCTCCCTTGGTGCTCAGCTTACAATTAGACCCGAAGTAGGAAACTAAAACCCTAAAAAAATATGTAAAAGACAACCCGAGTTAAAACAGGAAACCTGAGAGCCAACTGGTCGGCTAGCTAGACTGACTGGTCACTTGCTGTGCGACACATTCCGACCGGTTGCTCTGCTTTGACTCCGAATCCTGCAGTTTCAGTGAGTAGCTACCGGTCGGACCCTTGTACAAGCCTCGTTTTCTTGCTTCCAAACTATCAAGATTTCACTAAAATATGTGTAAATTAATGAGATTTATGGTGAAAACTCAGTAAAGCATGACCATGCACGCAACAGAGATCTAGAGTTTTCTGAAATGCGAGCGAGCACTAAACCCCCCCCCCCCCCCCCCCCCCCAAAAAAAAAAAAACCTGAATGAGAATACTATAAAGATTTTAAAGCCCAAGTTCAAAATTTCATACAAAAAATTTGACACTTTTATTCACGTGATCAGGCAATCCCTAGAAAAGTAAAACAAGCATGTTTGAGAAGTTTGAATAAGGAAACTTAAAATCCTAAAATCTCAAATTCATAAGAATCCTGATGCAGTTGTCAGTAGATCAGGCTTGCCTCTCGTTTGATTGAAACATTTGTGAAAACATCCTTTCTTGTTTCATTTGATAAACCAATTGAATGGATTCAAAGCTGACAGATCTCGGTCGATCGATGTGTAGCAACTTCAACTGATCTTCTGTCTTATGATATTTCTTGATATCAACACTCAGTTTTGTATTATGCTCTTTTTCTTGGAAGAGGCAGCAACTGTAGTTGAGTTGTGTGTAGCGAAATGAGTCATTAGGTCCTAGAAACATGAGCAAAGTATTAATAGCAAACCAGATGGGAAGTCCCTACAAGCCCCAGATGGGTCCCAGCCTAGATCACAACTTTGATGCAGAATGGAGTGACAATTCCATTCCATCTTGCCAGCCCTTTGTACACCAACCTCTTAACCCATATCAGTTCTATGATATGTCTAAATTATCTTGGTAGTCTTTAGTTCCTACAAAACCGTCCCGACTACTCGGTCTGCAAATCCCCTATTATTTCAGTTCGAACAGTCTCAGCTCCAGTGCAGAGGCATATCTTCCTATCTTAGCTGTACCTGATCTTAAAGGATACAGAGTACAAGGATAGTAGGGTCTCTACCTTTGAGCCATTAGAATCTGTTTACACCTGGAAAAACTGTTACATGTCTGGTAATACTAATTGATACGACATGGGACAAGTTTACTGATACATTGTTTACGCTTGTAAAAGCTGGACTTCACAGCGGTCATGTTCATATACAAGTGGATCCAAACTTTACACTAGATTGAGTGCAGTTCTCTTATTTCCATTATTAGCTATTCCTTGCATCTTTGATTCATATTAACACGGATGGGATGACTGACCAAAATTCAGAAAATACTGGTTCTCAGGTTGTTTATCTGTATATCTGAAAATGATGCCATCCATGCATACACACTTTTGATTTTTTTATTTGCTTACCAACTGGTTTGTTCAGGAATTGTTTTACTAAATTCATGGCAGATGAGTGAAATTTCGTCTGATACATATATTTGTTAGATACTTCCACAGAAATATCAGTGTGAAGGTTTGAAAAGGAAGAGAAAAAAAGGATTTGTAGTGCTGAAATTTGTACTCTTTACAGAACAATTTTGCCTAAAAGATATTCCTCTTGGATACTGCATATGATGACTTCTGTTAATCCCTGTCCAAATTGTGCATTCTTTGGTTGAAGCATAATTTGCGGTAATTTTGTATGATACTTGCACGTTTGAACCATAATAGCTGTAAGGTGTTATAACTATTGGCTTCCGCATCTTCACATTTTCTTAATTCTTGAGCACACAATGAAATAGGTAGAGAGTCCATTTTCTTGGGCAGTGAGTCCTATTTGCATTATCCTTTCTTTTATTATGACACTGTTGCAAAATGGAAGGTCTCTAGATTTCTCTATGATCGGTCTGCTAACTTTGTATCATCCTACTCTGTGCCTACATTTCAGCTTATTCTTTAAACAGGAAATGGAACTTTCACTAGTAGGGCTTCAGAATGCAGGAAAGACGTCTCTTTTAAATGCCATTGCTGTGAGTGAAACACAAACTTTGCACATCCTTTCTAGTATGTATTGTTGCTGCCCCTTCACATTAATCATTCTATGTTTTCATTACCAGACAGGTGGCTACAGTGAGGACATGATTCCAACCGTAAGCATCTTTTCTCGAACAAATTGTGGAATTAGGTTTATCACATTTTTTTGGGTGGTGTGAAAAATATATGTTTCTAGTATTTTAAGAGGAATTGTTTCCTAATATGAAAACCAGGTTGGATTCAACATGCGAAAAGTAACCAAGGGAAACGTGACAATTAAGGTTTGGGACCTTGGAGGGCAACGGAGGTTCCGTACAATGTGGGAGCGTTACTGTCGTGGTGTCTCTGTAATTGTGTAATTCCTTCAGTCACTTTGTATTATATTAAGTTTTCTCCTTTTGAAATTTCATCTCTATCTTTTGCCGTCAATTCCTTTTCAGATGCTTCTGGCTTTTGAGGAAACCAGCAAATGCCTGCTGCCTGTGTGCAGGAACAGTATATTTTGATCCTGAAAATTAAGCCTCACCTTTGGACTCTTTCTATATTTTTGACATTTTTGTTCTCCTAAGAAACGTCGAAAAATTTAACTGTCAATCATGCTTATGAAAAAAAGACTTGCTTTGATATTTAAATCCATTATTATATAAAGTCGGCTGTCTATCCTTCCTTAGTGTTCTCTTAGCCGGCATTAATCAATTCTCTTATCCTTCATCAGACAGCTATTTCAAGACTTTCCACATTTGTTTATCAATATACATACATTTTATATTTATTTAATTTAGAGGTCTTGGCATTCATTCCCAGCCTGTTAGCTGAGCTGTCCATCAATCTGGTTCCTTTCTAATTCTTCCTTCGTACTGGATGTTGTCACAGGTATGTAGTTGATGCTGCTGACAGAGACAGTGTTCCAATATCTCGAAGTGAGCTACATGACCTCTTGATGAAACCTTCCTTAAGTGGGATTCCTTTACTTGTTCTTGGCAACAAAATCGACAAGTCTGAGGCTCTTTCCAAGCAAGCATTGGTTGATCAACTGTGAGTACAGAATGTGATATAAGTTGTTACTTCAATCATCATTCTCTGTTGATTATTTCTACTCCTAGAAACCTTGATGTGTTCCATTTGGTGTTTTCAGAGGCCTAGATTCAATTACGGACAAGGAGGTCTGCTGCTATATGATCTCATGCAAGGATTCCATAAATATAGATGTTGTCATTGATTGGCTTATCAAACACTCCAAAACAGCAACCTGATCCATGAATCGATCAATTACAGAGTGTTTGATCAAACAAAGTTCAACACGAGCTGAAAAGGTGAATTGATGAAAACAACCACTGTTGAGACTCTGTAACTAGTAGGATTTCGCTATTCGCCTGATAGAATTATCTGTACAGTACTTATATAGCCGGCAAGCAAGTCTGTCATGCTTTGGTTGTTATAAATTGCCTTGTTCGTTTGAAATGATTTCGATTTTCAAATGAAGGATCCTAAATTAGAAGCACCATTTTTGTGAGATAAATATATTGTGAATTACTATTGTTTATTGTGCTGAAGTTTTGTGGTGTCCCCGTACTCCCCGTGAAGGCTTTTAGTAGGAGACTTCGGGAGCTATTCCAATTCCCAAACACTAGAAGGGCCATTTTCTTCTCGTTCGTGTTCAGAGGATGGAAAATGGAGACAAAAATAATAACCAACCAGATTGAGACGCATGTTTGATTCATATTGGAATGAACCTAGTTGAAATCTGAATATTTCCATTTGTAAAAGAAAATGGACACTAAAATAGTACCTGCTTGCACTACATAAGTTGAAAATGAGTAATCAAACTAAATAATATTGAAGGTGACGACAGAGTTATGTCGTCGTGTCGTGTTTCGACGTTGACTAGGTTTATTATAATCCGTCATCTTTGCATAAAAAAAAAAGCTTTGCACACCACAAAGACATCATCGAACATGTTTTAACTTGTATGTGTATATGTGATTAGGTATCAAATCAATTTTTTGCTTCATAACTCTGGTCTCTATCATAATGAATAGGAAATTCGAATCATTGTCCCCCCATTGTAACATCCACACGTTTGGATGACCTCAAAATTCTAGAACACAATTCGTTTCAATGGAATTCTCAAAGGGGAAAAATAAAAAACACTTAAAGGGAGAAGAGAAGTGTTATTAAGTAAACAAACATCCTTTTGTCTTTGCCAATGTGAAGCATTTAGCCAGTGTATGATTCCTCATCTAGAAGCGAAAACGCAAAGACTTTCGTGTAAAGACTTGGACTGGCAGGGGTTGCTGTTTGTAGAGAAATTATTAAACCAAGTGGCAAGGGAAAGTCCAAGTGAAATTGAAATTCCAAGAAAATAAAGTAAACGTGAAAATTTTGTGGGTAATAATACTAATAGTAGAAGTTAAGACCATCTCACTGCCAAGTAAGAAATTAAAGTTACTTTGGAATATATGCAAGTTGAACGGATAAAGACTTGACTTGCATTGAGAAGGTTCGGATTGAAGACAAAATAAAGGAGGCGCATTGAGAAGGTTCCTGCACGATATTTTCATTTTTCGGCACTTACTTTGACCAAAACCAGACATTCACATACATTTTTTCCGAAAATTATTGGGTTTCAACTTCTAGTATTTAGCATATACTGTCCGATTTCTTTGAAAAACGAAGTTACATACAGCTCAAGTCTACATGACATACAATTTGTCTTACATCTAGATGTGAATGTTCGACCTTTCATCCTAGATCCCTTGTCAATCGAGCGACAGTGTAACTTTCTTTTGTCACTCTCGTTGACTGGCACATATTTCTTGCTTAGATTCCAATCAAACAAGTGATTTATAAATCAACAATTACACATATTATATATGGTATGAGTGGGGAAAAAACCGTTAGAACAATTCAAACCGGCTAAACCGAACCAATTCAAATGGTTTTGATTCTGTTTTTGCACCAAAAAAATATAGAAGTGAACATGACCAAACCAAACCACAATTAGTTTGTTTTGGTGTGGCTCATGTGAAACGCCTAAATTCAACCAAACTGCCTACATCAATGTATTATCTTTTTGACATTTGGAATTTCTTATTGATTCTAACTGTTATTACCTTTGTGGAGGGGTGTTTCCAACCTAGACAAGACCCAAAATGGGATAATCATGCTACGAACTGGCGATTGACTTTACTAGATAAAGATAAGGAATATGAGTATGTTTTCCGTCTGTTTTTAAAACAGCTGCAGTAAAAGCCACATACATTGCTAAATTCAGTGGGTGTATTGGCTGGCTTTCTTTTGCAAAGTCTGGTGCAACATTATTTTCAGCAGAGGAAGAGGTTATGAGTAAGAGATGGAAAATTTTGCTTAAAACTAAAGTGTGTAGGACCATACATGGCGTATAAAAAAATGTATAGTGCTTTTGAAAAGAACAAATATACTAAAAAGTATATATATACGGGCGTGGCTCTATATTAATGGATAATCATATTACTTTATATATAATTAATTAACTAAACTATATATTAATACGAAAATTAATCATTACTTCGGTTAAATTAATTAATTAATTAATATATTTATTTAATGATCATAGCCTTCATCTTGTCTAGTGATGATCAAATAGGGAAGTCTCATTTCTCTTTGTATTTTTTCTATACATTAATTTCTATATTTAATTTAATTAGGACATAATTAAGAGATTTTATTTTATTTTATTTTTTTATGAAACATAATTACGAGAAATTGGATGGGACCTTTTTGCTTTGTACACACGACTAATTAAAGAAGCAGTAGTGTAAATGTAAAATCGGGGATGACGGAGAAGTACAAAAAGCATTTATTTATAATTAGGGTTCCAAAATTTCCTCATGAAGATTTGTGGCGGTGTCGTTTTATCTCCATTGGAGTCTCACGCTTCAAACGCAAGCAAAGAAGGTTGATGAGGTGGAGCTATCTGATCAAGACGCCCACACGTGTTACGCGTTACCCCCAGCAGGTCAACACGTGTATACCCAAAAGTCGGAGAAAGAACTGATTAGCACCACCAAAAATAGAAATTAAATTAAATTCTGAAAGATTAAAAAAAAATAATGGAAGTAAACGAAACAATTAAAATGTAGCATAGTGACATCCAATGTTTGTTTAATAAAGTTTTTAAATGGACTAATAGTGGATTCAAATAATGTATTACGCTTCTAACAATTTTTATTGATTGCGATAACATTTTTCAATACTTCTTCAAAAGATGTAGGTGTTTCTTTAAAAGAACGTGGATTTTCAACGAAAATTTTATTGTAAAAATTGCTTTCAACAAAAATGCTCGTGAATATAAGTGCTTCTTACATAAACATTTGCAAACAGACTCTCAGACAAATGTCTGTTAAAGGAGATTATGAATTTAAATTTCATTAACACCAATTGTTAAATGAGAGAGAGAGAGGGGAAAAAAAAGAAATAAATCAAATACTTGAACCAGCTAAGCCAAGCCAAAGTCCATAGTAGGAAAGTCTTCTTGGCCTTGGGTGCTGTTTGGCTTATTATATTATTATATCTTTAAGAGTTATGTGGGTGAATACATACTATATATAGGTGGGTGGGAATGAGTCTAAACTTGTTATCTGCACATCTCAGGATCAGCCTGTGCCTTATTTTACATATCAGCCTGCCTTGGCCTAGGCCTAGCTAAGCTAAGACTGCTAAGTTGAAGACTTGAATATAGCTTATTGAGCAGCCTTGTACAAATTATAGCTAATTGGTCTTATAGCTTTTGTGGGTTGTGTTTGATTTTGGGGAGGATTAATCAAAATGGGAAGGCAACCATGCTGTGACAAAGTAGGGTTGAAGAAGGGGCCATGGACAGCTGAAGAGGACAAGAAGCTCATTAACTTCATCCTCACCAATGGCCAATGCTGCTGGAGAGCTGTTCCTAAGCTTGCAGGTCTCATATCCATTATCATATATTTATACTTCATTTTTGTCACTACATTCTAGAGAGAGACAGAGAGAGAAAGGGATGTGCAAATTTGAATGCTCTGTTATTCATTCTGTTTCTTTCCTTCAGGGGAGAGGGGTAGGAGAACATGTGTTTTCTGTTAACGTTTTTGAATTCCAAAACTTTTACAAGTTTCTCTTTTGTTTTCAGAAATTGGGTTTATTCTAATTCATCATTTCATCTCTTCATCTTTGTTTTTAATTTTCTTCTCTCTCAGAAAAACCAAATAAGGTGGCTCTGAAGTTTTCTTTTTGTTTTTTGTTTTCTGTTTCCTCCTTTGTTTTTGCTCTGGGAAATTAAGGAAAATGACCTAACAGTTTAAGAGGCCTGATTCTCATGATTATCAATATTAAAGTGGAAACTTATTGGAATTTGAATGCCCCAATATTTTCAATGAATTATTAGCTCACTGATTATAGCTATGGTGGGTTGGTCTCAATTGCAGGATTGTTAAGGTGTGGAAAAAGTTGCAGGCTGAGATGGACCAACTATCTTAGGCCAGACTTGAAGAGAGGTCTTTTATCAGAAACTGAAGAGAAAATGGTCATTGATCTTCATGCTCAACTTGGCAACAGGTTTATTTTTTTATAGCAAGTTCAAATATTTCTGCCATTTCTGAAATTACAGATTAATTATAATTAAGGAACTCTTTGTCATTTTAGTAAATACTAATAGAAGACCAGATTATACAATTTCTGGGAAATGAGATGTCTGAGGATTTTACACCCAGTCCAACATGAATTTTATTTTTTTGTTCTCTTGACTTGAGATTTTTTTAAAAAATACAGCATGTTAATTACTATAGAACCTTGAATTCAACAGTGCTGAAATATGCAGTCTTGTCCTTCTGTATATTTTGTATTATTGGACCTTTCTTATGGCCATAAAGTCAAATAATCTTTTGATGATGCTAAAAAGACTTAAAGCAAATTATTTAATTTGTTTTCTTCTGCATTTTCTTTCTTGCGTGCTCAAGTCAAATATTGTCTATTTTCTCAGATGGTCTAAGATTGCCTCTCATCTCCCTGGAAGAACAGACAATGAGATCAAAAATCATTGGAACACCCACATCAAGAAGAAGTTGAAGAAAATGGGGATTGATCCTCTCACCCACAAACCAATTGCTAATGATGTCAATGATCAAAGCCAACAAGAACAAAGTCAAAACCAACAAGAAGAAGCACAAAAATCTTGTCCAGCTAATGACACATTTGAAGTTGAGCAAAACACCCCTGCTGCTCAAGCCATAGAGGAGGAAGGAGGAGGTGATGAGTTGGATAAAATGGAGCTCTTGATTGATGGGTTCTGCACAGATGACGTTCCATTGATTGAGCCACCTGAGATTCTGGTCCCTTGTGCTCCTTCCTCTTCTTCGTCAACCTCTTCATCTTCATCTTCTTCAAATTCAGCATCCAACTTCCTTGAAGACCTGCATCTCCCAGATTTTGAGTGGCTTTGTGATTACAGCAACAACAATGACAACATTGGCTTGTGGGATGATGACTTCAGCAGTTGGGGTCAAGAATCTTGGGCATATGGGATTTTGTGAAAAGGGGAATTAACAAATTTTCCACTTGGATTATTTGTAATTTGCTTGTTACTTTTGTTTTTTAAAGAGTAGAAAATAAATTATAAGAGAATAGAGAAAACCACATCTTTGAAAAAATCACAATTTCTTTTAGATGTGACATTGGAGTGGAGTGAGCAAAAGGCAATCCCCAGATTCTAATGTTTTGTAAGAAAGCCAAAAAGCATGTAAATCATTTTTTACTCTTTAGAAAGTGAAATAAAATAAATTAAAATAAGGTTTTTGTGTGTTCATGGAAGCATTTGGTTGGATTGGATTGATTGTTGTTTCAATGTATTATTGTAGGCTCCAGTTTTCTCTTTCTCATCATGTTTTCTCATCCTTTGTCTTGAAGGATTAATTCAGTAAACCTTTTCAAGAACCCGATTGGTTACATTTCATTACCATGTTATTTAAGTTGCGTCACCTTTTTCTTGCCTTCTTATTTATTGTTCAACGTAATATTGTATTGATCACAGTGATGATGATATTGGCTGTCAATTTTCATTTTTACCAAAATTAAGGAAGGGGCGTTTTCTCACACGCACTGTCAAAATTCCATAAAACCAATAATCATCAAGCCGATATCATTTTCCATTAAGCTAAATCTCAGTGCGCTATCAATTTCCATTCATCCATACAAATTATGCACTCAGCAGGCTGCTCACAGTTGGTGAGGCACTAAACACGTGTAGTCAGGCCACAGAGTTAACCCCTACGTGTTGCCTTAAGTTATAGGCTGGTCCACAAATCGCACCAAACTTCCGTCAAGTTTCCATATTCCTAGGTTGAAGAGAGAAACAAGATAAAGAAAGAAACCAAACTGATTGTCCCCCTCTATCAATGCTTCTTTTCACTGTTGTTCAAACCCGCGGGTAATGTTAGCATTTCATATGATATATGACATACAATTCCTAAATAAATTATTGTCGAATAAAATCATGTATGTTAAATTATAACATGAGGATCAACATCATATGACAATAGTAACTTGATTGCTTAATACACTTACAGAGCTATTTTTTGTATCATTCCCGTCACACATTTGCTTAAGGCATGAAGTATCGAACTCGAAAATAAGATTTAAATTATCACAAGATTAAAGGGTAGTTGATATTTAACTAATTAATATAAAGTTTTAAAAAAATTATTTGTTTAGTATTATTCATTAACTTACATTATCATGGGAAGAAGAACAAAGCAAGTTCGTTTCTTATTTATAGACTATATAGTTCAAGAAATTTATATAGTAGTATGTAGTCAAACATTAGGTTATACGAGCTGGTATTTTTCTTTTTATATTCTTTTAAACCCTTTCTGTTTGAAGGAGATTAATTTAGGAGCTGATTTTGTTTGCAATTCTTTGTCATTTCTTTCAACTGTAGGCGACTCTTTCGATTAGCTTAGCTTATATACGAGAGTAAGCGATTAAACTAACTATTTTTCCGTTCTCATTTGGAGAAAGTGTATATGTATACTAAATTATAAAAGAGGGAGATTCTGACACGCACAATCAAGATGTTATGGAATCAAATTTGAGGTCTCTGATTTGCAAGTTAAGGTCATTTTCTACTAGGCTAGACTTCGTTAGTAGCCATATATATACCAAATCTAAACTATCTTTGAAGTTTAGGATTTAATAATAAAATAAAATAAAATATATAGCGCTTGGAATTTTTTGTTTTAAAACTCAATAATGCTTGGATTTGTGATATAAAAAAGTTGAGATTAAACGTTGAGAAAGAGTCAAACAAGCAGTCCAAATCCCAAATCAAAGAAGGCAAACCCTTTTTTAATTATGTGTTCCAACATGATGAAAAACTAATGAGAAAATTACTTCTAGAACGCTTAATAGCGTGTTCGAGGATTTAAAAGCCAACCTGGCAGTGGCATGCATTCAATTAAAGATCTTTTAATTTAATGTATATGTAGAAGTAGAAGTGCCCACCTCACCCAATGTCAACTCCTTTGAGATGGGTTGCTTGTCAACCTATTATTAATTTTTAATCCTATGATTAATTAAAACCAAGTAAAGACAAGTGCTTAATCATTATTGGAAATTGCAATGAAATAAATTCAGATAGAAACTCTAAGCAACAGTTGTTTTCCAAGCCAAAAGAGAGCTACGTTCGACCATCATCTTTCTTCTATTTTGATTTTAAATTTTTTGGGATAAAAACGATAGTCTAAACTATAAGGGAGTTCGACCCAAAAAAAAACCTACAAGGGAAGCGGGAGTTGGGAATTCGAACCTAAAACTATTGGTTTGCAAGTCAAGGCCATTTTTCCACTAGGCTAGACCTCGTTGGCTAATTTCATTTTAATTTTACGTTAAAAAAATTGTTTCATGTACTACCTTGAATTATTATATATTATCATATTTTTGTTTATTATATTATTATCATACGTACGTTAGCTTAATATATGAAAATTGTTAACTCTGCCACATGCTTTAAAGAATGTTAAGAGGATGTTAACTACATGATTAGGAAACTTGTTAATAAATGCGAACTAGCAATGGGGATGCCTTGGTCAATCAAGGCAGTTGAGTTTGTTATGTGTCAACTGCTATTAAATATTCATACACAATCTTAAACTACAGCACAACCTTAAAGAAAACCTATGTTTCCCTCTCTATATGCAAGGTCATGTTTGATGTTTGAATATGCAGTATCAACCAAATAAAATTTGTATTTCTTGTGTGAGTTTTATTCATGCAACGACCTTGTATTCAATGTCTTTACTTGGCAATCAGTACAAATCATTGTTTTTGTCTCGTGAAAGTTAGAATCGTAGGCTACGAGAGTAACATTTATGAAACAATAGTCCAACCATACACCGTGTGAATCACTAATTATGATAATCTTTTAAATTGTAATTTAGAAAATAAATATAGTTTTCGATTATGACATGTGTATTGTAGAGATTCATTAATCACCCCGGAGGAGATAAGAAAGTGCTCTCACAAAAATAAACATCCGTACACCTAGTCAAGATTAGCCCAAGAAATAATGTGAATAGGTCTTTGTCATCGTACGGTAGCTTCTTCAAAGAAGATTCCCTGTTCCATGTCATTGACTTTATTAAAACCAATTTCATCTTATTTGACCATGAAAAATTCAGCCCGAGAAAAATAATTATAAACACTAAGAGATAAAGACACAAAATAAAATTGATATACCATCTGGATTGCAGCCTAAGTCCTTGTTTTATCTTTTGATGCGAAGCTGTCCAACTTGACAAAAGCTAATAACTAGCTGTCTATCCGCGTGAACGACAAGATATATTTGTAAACATTCAGAAATGTTAGGCATGGTTTTAATTTTTATAAATATAAAACAATAATATTTTTACAGAGGTATATATTTATTCCTTACAATAGTTATAAATGGTGACACTGAAAAAAGGTACGAAGATGAAGTAAGAGAGATGAAAATTGAAAACTTATTTCAAAATTACGTATTTTGAATAAGGGCAATTTTATCCAGAAGGGATTTGAATACCTTCTCACTTTCATACGATTATATATATATACGTACACGAACACTATGCGTCATGGAAGAACACGATGCTGGTCGATTGGTAAAAGTTATTTTGCAAGTGAAGTTTTATATGTGTAAAAAAAAAAAACAGCATACGTTTACGATACATATGACAATTATAATACGATATGTATGATGTGAATCTCAAGTATACAAGTGGTGGATTGTAGGAAGAAAAATTGCATGTAGTGCGTAAATGTAGAGCATGACATCTATCATGAGTTGGGAATGCTTTTTCAGTCAACGTTGAGGCCTAGCACTATTGAATGAGCCCAAACTTACGCCACCATTGCTTTCTGAAAAATAGAGCTGGTCTAGCTAATAGAAAATAATTCATTAATGTTAGGATATATCCATTCAAAGACTATGATGAGTTCTGGAAGTAGAAATAAACTCAAAATTTATCACCCTCTTTCCTACGTAGTGTGGAAATCCCAAAGTCTTTTGGCGATTCTTACGGACCACAGTCATAATTTGTTGTGAATCTTTCAACCCCTTGAAGCCCTAGTGCATTCACACTCTTTATGTTTCTTGATGTCTATGCTTCATAATTGCTAACAGGAAAATATTCATGGCTCCAATATCTATTTTTATAAATTTAGTTAAGATGCACATGTGGGGTAGATCAATTGGATAGGCAATAAGTTCGTTCCAAATAAGCATGCAAACTTTTTCTAAAGCTTGTTATTGACATTTAAAAAACGTCATCGTGCACTCATTCAACTTAGTTTCTACCTTATATTTTTATTTATGTGGAGTGCATGCTGACCTTTAAAATACCAATAACAATTACCCAAAAAAAGTATGCAATTATGTGTGAAATTACTTTTAGGATTGTAATTAACTGAAGTATACAGTGAAATAAAATTATAATTAAAAATTATTTGTTTAGATTATTACAATTTATGTGTGTCAATAATATTCAGACAAGAAAAGAAGAAAGACACAAACGGATTTTAAATGATTCCTTGCATATTGTTATTTCCAATTTATTTCAAACATAATACATCTAGTTATTTTAAATACATTCAATCTGATGTGATTCTTGTCAATGGAGTCTAGCCTAATGAAAATGTCATTGACTTGCAGACTAGTTGTCTCACATTCAAACCACCCCATTGCACCTTGGTAGAGTGTGTGTGTGAGAAACTCATCTCCTCTTGTAATTTGGATTATCGCTTGTATTAAAAAATCTAACGTGATTCTTATTTCTTAATTTTGTAGCAAATTTAAAGTCATTTTGTTCAAATCCCTTCATGTAAACGAAGCATTAATCATTTCTTCGTATTGCGGAAGTCTAAGAATGATGTTTTTTCCTAAATTAATTATGTTTTGCGATCACTTGAAGTTGCAGACCCTCGGTGCTATGATTGCTTCTTTCGTCAACAAAATGGCTCTCAATTGGGTTTTGTTATTGAAATTTCTCAAGCCAATTATATCCAACAAATTAGTGGCCAATAATAATAGTTATCATAACACACCTGGAAGTCTCAAATGGTCCCATGAATATATTGTACTAGTGGATCGCTGCACTGTAGCTTTCAGAAACATCATGCGCATTCTACATTCTCAATCACCAATCACCATATCACTTGTTATAGATTCCACAAAATATTTGTTCACATCCAAATTCAAACTCAGTGCCACTTTTTTGTTTTTTTGTTTTTTGTTTTCTTTTCAAACTGTGAAAATATTCCTTATAAGGAATGAACTTGATAATTTTTTTTCCTTTTTAAGGTGAAAATAAGGAATATATATTTTTGATCACTGAATTTTACACAAAATTTAAATTTGATTATCGAGAAAAAAAATTAACAATGTTGGTCGCCATATTATTCGAAGTTTACAATTCATAAACT